TAATTCGTTCAACCCCATCCTTAATAACATCTAACCCATCTTTCACTATTAAGTTAATGATATGAGCACAACACCGCATATGCAATAAAGAACGAAATTCAATAAACCTTTAGGTTGTAATTTGTCCCTTGCATACTCAACCATGGAATCATTGGTGGAACAATTATCTAATGTAATAGTGGATAATTTTCCTTCAACATTCCAATCCATCAAAAAATCAACCAAAGCAGATTGCAAGGACGATGCTTGTATATGGACAAGGAACATACATAAACCTAAAGTAAGATATAAATTAGTTATCAACTAGAAGCATTAAACTAAAACAATTAAGCAAACATCATTAAGTTAAGAAGAAATGAAGAGTACCTCAATAGGCGGCTTCGTAATGTCCAAGAACTATCAATGTAATGAGTCGTAACGACCATGAACCCTTTTTTTTGGTTGCTCGTTGTCCACAAATCAATAATGATGGCAACTCTACTTTCAAGTTTTTCGAAAAGTCTCTTCATTTTGGCTCTCTCATTGTCATTTATCTTGAACGCATCACTTTTCATCGTATTTCTACTTGAACATCGGAATAATGGTTGAAGAGTACTTGTAAACTTCCCGAAGTCGATATGATCAACCATAGAGAGCGGGTATTCATGCAATATGATCATAGAAACAAGCTCATTTCTTCCCATCTCTTGATCAAAAGTAAGAGACATTGCATCATTCACTAAGTTAGAAGTCAAAATCTTCCGCCTTATGTCCGTAATTCTCCTCCTTGGACATCTCTTAAAGTGATCATGCAAATGTTTAGTACCATTCCTTGACTTGCCTCCAAGTTGCTTCGTGCAATAATTGCATTTTGCCTTTTCTTCACCATTCACAATTTTCTTTGTGAAATGGTCCACACAACACTAAATTGCCTTCTATTAGAGAGATCGAAATCGCTTTGAAGTTCATCCGTAACAAGTTGTGGAGATGAAATTGATTCGGTAATTGGAGTCGATGGAGTGAAATCCAAATGTATTAGTGTAGAGTTTGTAGAGTGATGGGAGCTACCTCTATCTCCATGGCTTGTCATTTTCCGAAAATATATAATAGTTTAAATTCCGGACTATCAAACAAAAGAAAAATATTTGGACACTTGGATCTTAATATCTTATACGGTTATACTTAAGAGAGAATGACATGAGAAATATATAGTTGAACTATAACTTCTTTGCCTATAATTGTAATTTTTTAAGAACATCTAAAGGGAAATGAGAGATTGCTCTAAATTACTTTGTTAAAAGGAACACCTTGAATAAAAAAAAAACAAAATCATATATATCTGGTTTGTATTCAATTTCCCATATAAATGAAATTAGTTCTTATAGTTGTTAAAAAGAAATTTTTTTAAAAAAAACCATGCATCGTTGAGTCACTGCTACTGATAGCACTGGAGCTAGCTCGCAGTATGCTTGAGTGCCACTGGAGTATATATATATTGTGTGTGTGTGTGTGTGTGTGTGTGTGTGTGTAAGAAAAAACAAAGTCTAGCATAATTTGAATGTATACATATATAAATTGAGGTCTCATGCGATCATGCCTCCTTGTATCGATTGTTGTATCGACTACTGACATCCAAAAACCATAGAGAAATAATTTATTGTGCATGATCATATTTTCATTTGGTCCTAAGAATGTAAACTACATCCACATCATTAATATAGGTCTTCAAACCAAGCTGAATGTATGAGTCATTTAAGGGCTGATCCGGATAAATTAGTTATGGTACAAGTAAATGGATCTCCTGTCATTTTGTCAACTAGAAGTCATGAAAAACCTCTCGCTTAAATACGGAATCCGACCATCTAGGAAGCATGGACTTGCGAGTGAATTACAAGGGTAGATAAAATAATGATACTCTTTGCTTGAAAATTATCACATTTCTGATTTTTCCACATATAAAATCAAGTTCGGAAAACCTAATAGAAAGAAATCACGAGTTGATTGAACTAACGACCTCAACAAATAACAAGGCAAAATTATCAACCTACATGCTAGAGAATAATAGAAACTATAGTTAATTAGATTGGTTCGGAAAAAATCAATATTCTTTTTTCATGCTTAGCTGAAATCCTTTAAAAAATTTCTCATACTACATCAAGTTTCAATACTAAACAAAAGCGAAAACGAAGGTTTAGGAATTATTCTATTTATATCCCTTTCCTAAATTTAACCACCATGAATCAAGAAAATAAATAAAAACTCAACACTCATTTCATACTTTCATGCTAATACAATTGCAGTGAGTTCCATATAACTCTCTATCCATGCTTTGAGGGGAAAAGAAAAACAATTAAGAAGTTATTAGTGGATTAGCCTATAAATTACCCAGTGGGTTGGCGAAATGGTGGTCAGCTTGGCTGGTGGAAGACAGAATGTACCTTCGGACTTCAGTGTACGGACGACTAGACAGTGCTAGACTCCGGTGAAATGGTGATCGGTGATGACCGGAGATCTAGAGAGTGGAGATATAAGTCCGAAGACTTAAGACTCAAACTACGAAACGGGGCTAAGAATGCGAGATAGGTAAGGTTTTCATTTCTACATAACTAATCTGCAGTAGCCATTAGCTAACTCTAAGTGAGTAAGTGTAAGCTGTCAAGTGACTTACTATAAGTCACCGTTGATAGGGCAAAACGGGGCGGGGTGAGCAAATCCCATCCCCGTCCAAAAAAATTACGAGGCGGGGCGGGACGGAGCGACCTCGGGTCAAGTCATTTTGCCATTCATAGGTTAGAGCACCAAGCCTATGTAGGCTAGGCTAAAAATAAAATTGTTTTTAATTCTAGCGATTCTAAAATTTTCAACGACCTCGACTTTACCGGAAAGTTGAGGTTCATGATTTTCGACCTACGAAAATTAAATTGAGTCCCATTTTTATCTAAAAAGACCTCAAAATTATAGAAATGATATCCAAAAACTTGTTTAAAACCTAAAAACTCATTTTAATAAACAAAAATTCAAATTAGAATTAAAAAACTCAAAATATTTTAGGCTTTCGATCTATTTTCTTCTATCATTTCACAACTTGTGACCACTATAAACGGATTCTACTCTTAAAGATGAACAAATTGATGGTGATTTCAATAGTCGTCCTTCTCTCTTTCTCTTCCATTCTCTATATCTCTCTTTCAAACTATCGAGGGTCCAAAATGCGACACAAATGGAGTCTAAAATCGAAATAGAAGTTTGTAAAAAAAATGAGGGATTAAAATACAATTTTTTTTTCAAATATTAAAAATGCACAATATATATGAATATATGTGAACAGTACAAATGTGTGTGAATATGCAGTGAAATGTACAATAAGTGCACATTGAATAGTTTAATTCTTTTAGTATTTTAGTTAATGGTTAACTAATAGGTGATGGTTATGATAATTCAAAATCTACCTGTTAATGATTAGTTTATGGTGATTATATCTAAAAAACATAATCATAGTTAAGTTTTGACATCCTTAATTGGAATCCGTTAAGAGACTTTGATTTAATTATGATACATACTTCAACATCTAAATAATATGACTGCTGATGAAAGATGTCGATAAATCCACTGTAGCACAATGGCAATTTCAAACAATTCATGAAATGCGGGTTCAAATCCCGGCAGCGGAAAGAGCAATTTTTAATTTTTTTCCCCATCAAATGCTTAATTGGACTTTTTTCATTTTTTGCTTTTCCTCGAACTTCACTCAAATGAAGCCCAACGAGCCCAAATTGTTCCAAATTTTCTTCCGTCCACCATTTTGTTGTTGTTTTGCTGGCCTTCCTTTCATTTTCCGTTGACCATTTCCTTTTCAACTTTTTTATTATTATTTTTTTTTGTTTTTTTTTCGGTTGCTATAAGTAGGGTTGGAAAGTTTATCTAAAGTTGAGATTTCTATTTTATCAGTCTATTCTCGCGTAATTCAGGTTGAAAACATACATTCGAAGGTAGTTTCATAACATACCATAATGGGTCTCACAATTTTAAAAAATAAAAAGAAAGATCTTTTGCTATTTTTTCCTTGAAAGTTTTGGGAAAAAGAAAAAAAAAATCAAATTTTCAAATTGTATTTCATTAAAAAAAATTAAATATTATTTTCTTATGACTTAGACTTGGTCTCCAAAATACAAGATCTTAAGTTTTCTGTTGAAACAACTCAAATATGTTAATATTGTAGTATAATTATATCAATGTAAAAAGTTAATTAATGAAATTAAAATTTTAACTTAATTGGTTAGAATAATGGAAATAGTTAGAATAAATTGAATCAATCTCAAAATTAGGGATAATGAAAAAAAATAAAAAAAACAGACACGGTAGTATTTGTTTCGTTTTTATATAAAGGTGATACATGAAAAACATAATATTTATTATCAATCGTCCTTAGAGATGATAATAGACAAATACTCGATTCATTAATTTAATTTTTTACCATACCCATAAAAAAAAATTCTACTCAATATCTATTAAATAATCATCATATCCTATAATAATTTATCCTTCCATTTAATAATAATTTAATAACCTCTAAATTTAATTTATCAAAAACATTCATTTTAGTCTCTATAATTTTCAAGAAAGGCTTTTTTGGTCCTTAACATTTTTTTTTCATTTTGATCATTTATTTATAATTTTTTTGGTTCTCAAAAGTTTTGGAAAAAATATTTTGGTTCTTAACTTTTAGATTTTCTGCAATTAGGCAATTAGGTCCCTCTATGTTAATAAAAAATCTAAATAAATTAGTGGATATTAATAGAATAAAGAGTAAGTATTCATACATTTAAATCATATTAATGAATATATTTTTTTTATTTTTATCCATTTTAATACTCATTAAACATTCTTAATAAATATTTATTGAATCTGATAAACCAGATATTTGTTTTATCCCTAATTCATTGCTATCCCTAATCATTCTTATTAAAATCTGAAACTTCGACCAAAAAATTCCAGTCTATCTAAATTATTCACGCACCTACTCTTCCTTTTAGTCGGATTTTCCATCCCATCGCCTCTCGTTCTCGTCGCTGCACCATATACATAGCCAAACTTTGTATCCCATCAGACATGATTTCAATCAATGAGAATGAAAATAGTTTAAGAACTAGGGTATATAAAAGAGAGACAGTATGGAAAGTATTGTTTTTTTTTTTTTTTTTTTAGGATATGTACTTATAATTATTTAAATTTCATACAAGAAAATGGATTTAAGAAATTCTATTTCTTGCATTTTATTATAAAAATCAGTTTTGTGAATCTTAAATCAAGAACGTAAAATTAACGATATTAGTTGCCAAAGTGATGCTTAATTGACTATTGATGCGTTACTACACCAAACACATTGTTTCTTCTTAGTAATAGAACAAACAAATCATGAAGTCTATCAAAGTAGCCAACTTAACTACAGCAAATGTAGATCTCTCAATGTATTTTAAAAAAATTATTAAATTTCTCTGAATACGTTATACCAATGTAAAATATGTGTTTTTAAGATCATTCAAAAAGAAATTTCGTTTTTATTAATATGCGAGTTGATTTGATAATATTTTTATTGAAAAATAAAAATAAAAATAAAGTGCTTGAGATTATTTTACATTCTATGTGGGATCGAAAAAAATATTCTTCCAAGTCATCATTCAATGAATAAACTATGATGTATTTTTGTATTTAATTCCTTTATTCAACCATTATTAACCAACTATATATATTTTTTGGTTAGATGATAAACAATATAATTTCACATAAATATAAAAATATGTGAAATATAAAAATATTATTTTCCATTGGAACATGGTGAGTATGTACGAATGTAAATACTTTTTGCTGTTGTGATTTGATGAAACATTTTGACTTTATAGATAAAATAACTTCGAGCTAATGTTCAGTAATTCTGCTGTAGCACTTTGGCAATTTCATTCCTTAAATGATTATGGTTAATAACCGAAATATGAAAGCTGAAAAAATAACATAAATAATTATTATTTTCTTATATTTTGTCATATTAATTAAGCATTAAAAAAATTATACCATTGATTCTAAATAATTAGTAATTCATTTATTGCTTTTGAAAATTTTATTTTTAAACTTTTTATCATGATATACAAACTTGTATTGCATTGGATCAACTTATTTGGTTGTTTTTATTATCAACGAAAGTTATGTGTATTTTAAGAATATTTTTATACGAACATACTTCCTTGGTTGTTGTTGTTGTTATATTTTTCTATTATTAATTTTCTTGTTAATATGAAATTATCCAAACTCAATAAATTTATTTGTCTATTTAAGTTTTTCTTCAAAACAAAATAGATAGTTAATGGTTAACTAATAAGTGATGGTTATGATAATTCAAAATCTACAACCATCGGTTAACAATTAATTTATGGTGGTTACACCTAAAAACGTGACCATAGTTAACTAGTGCCATCCTTAACTGGAATCTCTTAAAAGACTTTGATTCAACTATGATAAGTAGTTTAATAAATAAATAATATTACGTGAAGGAAAACCAATGAATCCGCTGTAGCACATTGGCAATTTCAAACGATTCATGAAATCCGGGTTCAAATCCCGGCAGCGGAAAAATCAATTTTTAATTGTTTTTTTTTCCTCAAATGCTTAATTGGACTTCTTCGTTATTTGCTTTTCCTCGAACTTCACTCAAATAAAGCCCAACGAGCCCAAATTGTTCCAAATTTTATTTTTAGGTTGCCTATTAGTCGGGTTGGAAAGTTACTTAAAGTTTGTGGTTTCTGTCGTATTAATGTACTCTTAGATAATTCATATTGAAGACATATATATTTGGAGGTAGTTTCAAAACATACAATAATGTGTCTCGTAATTCTAAAAATTTAAGGAAGGGGTCTTTTTCATTTTTTTTTTTGGTAATTTTGGGAAAATAAAAGAAATCAGATTCCCAAATTCTATTTCATTTTGAAAAAAAAAAAAAAACGCTCTTAACTAATTTGTATTTGTTTATATGAAAAATTGTATTTTGAGATTTTATATATATAAAAATATTAATAGATTTTAATAGAAAATATTTTATAAGATAATATCTCTGTAATATTTTGAAATAAATTATAAATAAGATTATATATTTAATATTGAATATAAATCCTTTTAAAATAATTTTTATCCAAATTGATGAAATATTTTTCTAAATTTATAGAACTCTAAAATAAATTTTTTTTTATATAAAAAAACTAAATAGTTAACGGTATTAAGTGAAAAATAGATTTTGTCCCTTTTTATCTAATTTTAATAGATTTTTTGGATAGAATTTTTTTCTTACACGGGGATTTTGATAATCTTTTTGCTATTTTCTTACAACTTAGCTTTGTGTTTCCAAAACATATATGAGCATTTTACAAAACTCTTGAAATAATAATAAATCATAACGAGTTTTACATCTCTCTTTAAAGACTAAATTTATTAATGTTGTCGTACCTTTAATATAGATTGTAATGTTTAAAGTTGCATGTATTCTTCTATCAATAGTACATGATATGTTTTCGATCGTTTTGAGCTACAGGTGGCGCATGCCCCCTTTGCCACCCCAACCCACACTCGTGCGTGCGAACGCACTTGCACGCTTGTTGATATATAACTATTTAGTTTTATCAAATTTATTTATTTACTTAAATTCTTTTTAAAATAAAATAAATGGTTAATAGGTAATTGATAACTGATGGTTATCTACAAGGTATAACCATTAATTAATATTTAGATTATGACCGGTAAGAGATGTGATCTAGTTATAAGAAAATTGTTTTGATTTGATTAAAATTAAGATTCAATTTCTAATTTTTACTATTTATGAATGATTGTCTATAATTATTATTTAATAGTACCAGAGTTTAAGAGAGAGTTAGTAATTGATCAGGTATATGCTTATTTAGTCTAAGAAAGAGTTTAATGATCCATAAAAGATTAAACGTGTTTTACGATCAAAGACTAAATATGTTACGGTGCTGACTTAAATCAAGAAGCGGTGGATAGCGGAAAATGGTGCTGCCTCAAACCAAAAAAAGGAAAGAAAGACGTTGCTTTTTTTCCTCTTGTTTTTTCGCTGCCAAAGGGGCTGCCTCAAACAACCTTCTTTCCCGCGACCGATGGGTTCTTCCGCCATCGAAAAGGGTGAGAAAGCCTTTCCTTTTGCACCATGCAACTTTTTCTTTCCTTGCACCAACAGTCAGCTGCCATTTATGCCTTTTTTCTCACTTTTTTTGCTACCAAAAAGGTTGATTCGAACAAGCCCTTCCGGGCAGCAGCCCACTTTGACAGCCTTGAAGGGACAAGAGAGGAGCCTCTCTAACCTGCAAAAAGGAATGGCAAGAATTTACTGATGTAGGATGAAGGGTTAAGATGAAAAGAAAAGGCAAAATATAAGGAGGAGGAGGAGACAAAAAAGGAAGGTAGAGACCCTGTCAAGAAAGAGTAAACTTTTAACAGTTTTTCTATCAATTTGGATTAAATTTGGTCATTAACATGACGTTTATTCATAGAAATGTCAAGGAAAATTATCAATGAACAAATAAACATTATCAAAACAGAAGTTACCATCATTTCATTATCACCAAAATGTTTGCGCAAATCAGCATTGCAGCAAATGAAGTTCCTTTTTCATTATTAAGAGAATTTGCGCCATCTGCGAAGCGCTGTCAAATAAATCAACATTCAGAAAATTAAAGCTATTACATTTCCTGATAAAATGGTTGATCAATTGTCCTCATTGGCAAATATGCAAATAGCAATCATTTCCTTAAGCACATGCAGTGTTGCTGGATCCGCAGGTAATTTTGAAACTATGCGTAAATTTGTGTTCAAATCCTGACAGCAGATTTTTTTTTTTTTATCGATTATTTAAATAAAAAAGATTAGAATTGGGTTCTTGAAACAAAGCCCAATAAACCCGAAAGGTTAGAATTGCCTTTCAACCATATTTTTATATATATTTTTTTGTTGTTTTATTGGTTCCTTTTCTTTTCCTTCTATATTTTCCCTTTTATTTTTAATATTTTAATTTGGGTATAAGTTGGGCTGGAGGGTAACTCAATCCTTTTCTTTTCTTTTCTTTTTTTTTCTTTTTGGTGCCATTTTGGTAACAGAAAAAAATTAGATACCCAATTTGTATTTCTCGTTTAAAAAAAAATATTGCATATTATTTTGATATAATTACCGAAACCACCTTATGGAAAAATCTCTTAAACAAAAAATACATCAAAATATTTTTGTATATATCTAGCTTTAAAATAAAATTTTCACATAAAAAGTCCACACATCTGATCCACTTAATATTGTCAACTCATTTATGTTTATTTGTATGAGAAGTTTTATTTTGAGATTTTATATATACAAAAATATTTAATCGATTTTAAAAGAAAATATTTTACAAGATAATATATCTATAATATTAAGAAAAACATTATAAATATAATTACAAATTTAATATTGAATATAAATTTTATAAAACAATTTCTATCCAAATTGATGAAACATTTTCTGAATTTACAAAACTTCAAAATAAAATTTTTATTATTCAAAAACCTAAATAATTAAGGGTATTATGTGAGAATCAGATTGTCCTTTTTATATGAAAATTTTGTTTGGAGATTTTTTTAGATTTATATAAAATATTTTAATAATGTTTTTGGACAGAAATATTTTTTACAGGGGATTTTGATAATCATCATATTATTTTCTTACAACTTAGCTTTGCCTCTCCAAAATTCGAAACCTTTTTATCAAGTTCTCTTCTTATATAACTCAAGGATGCTAAATGCTTATTTATTTTTTAATACAAAGTTAGTATTTTCGTCCTCATTGGGCTAAAAAAACGTCAGTATTTTTCTCCTTGTTAGGCTAAAAAAATTCCAGCCTAGCTAACATATCCGCACACCTTCTCCTCCCTTGCTTAGATTTTTCACTCTGCGTCTTTTTTCCTGTCCTCAGAACCGCACCAAGACATTGCTCGTAGAGAACTGCAAAGAAACACGGAGAAATGGCTCTTTCCCAGATACCGAAACTTCATTTCCCCATATTCACTCGCTTCCCATCTTCTCTTTACACCAACACAAACCTCCCTCTTCTAACCAAGATCAAACTCCCAGCCCTTACCAGACCCAAATCCACATTCACCACAACAGAACCCATACCCATCGCTGAAGCCCACGACTTGTTAACACCCCAAGAAGAAACCCAACCCCAATTTTCACTTGACAGACTCTTTATCCCACCAGAAACTGAGGTTTCAATCAGTGAGAATAGTAGTTTAGGTCCTAGGATTTTGAAAGGGTCTAATATCGTGTTGAGTAAGTATGCAAGGGATGCACAGGTTGTTCAAGCCGAGTTTATTAAAAGTAGTGTGAGAACTGAAGATTGTCCTTCTGATGGTTTGCCTGAGTTTGCTCTTGTTGGAAGGTCTAATGTTGGCAAATCTTCTCTTCTTAATTCTCTTGTTAGAAGAAAGAAACTTGCACTTACCTCAAAAAAACCTGGTTAGTTGATAATAATAAATATAGTGTCTTTTTATATATATATAATTCATTCATGCCGATTTTTGTGTTATGTGATAAATATTGCAGCAAGAAATTATGGGGTTTTCTTTTTGTAGCATTTGTATTCTGACTTTGACTTGTATTGAATTTGGGGTACTCTAAAGGAAGAGACTTTATAGGTTAGAACTGAATATTATTTGTGTTTCTTGTTTTGGTTTTTTGTTCTTGGTGAAGGGAAGACGCAGTGCATCAATCATTTTAAGGTCAATGATAGCTGGTACTTGGTGGATTTGCCTGGATATGGGTATGGTTTCAAAACCTTTTGTAATACCTGGATCTGGGATGGTGCTTTGGTTCATTTTGTTTCATGTACGAATTTTGTATTGGCGCAATATTAAATGCTGGTTTCGGGTTTGGAATCTATTTTATGGGGAATAAACTAATTTAATTGATAATGAAACTTAACCACCTGTTGGTTGATGCCTATAAGTACCTATTTCAATTTCTCAAGCTTTGACGCTAACTTTATCCACTTTGTTCTGTTTTATTGAATTTGATTTTTGTTGTTGATTTATCTAGTTTGTCCAATTTATTGAATTGGCACCGTTTTCTCAAAATTATGTAAGTTTTCTATTACATCGAGACAGAGAAGAGCCACGTATTGCATTGAGCCATTTTGAACATGTATGAATTGCAGAGTGCAACGATGGATGCTGGCATCAAGTGATTCTTGCTATTTCTGCTGGCAGTATTTAATGGTTTCGAATTTCTGTTGTGGAAAATGAACTCATTTTTCTTAACGAAGTTGTTAAGGGACGTAATTCTTTGTTGTTCATGCCTACGTGTCTATTTCTATTGTCTTGAGCTCTTAATTTTATCAGTTTGTCCAGTTGCATTGGATTGTGGACTGCTTTTTTCACAATTGTGTTATGTTTCCATTCCATCCAGACAGTAAAAAGGGATTTTTTTGTGTGCATAGGATGTATTTGTTCAATTGTGCTTACAATGCTCAACCTTGTATCCCTCATGCTTGCATATACTTTACTTGACAACAATTTTGTTACAATAATTGAGTCTATCTTAGGATTCGACAGCTGCCAAATCAAAGTTTTTTGTTTCCCTTTTCTCATTATGTTAATCATGTAGTTATTGCTTACGCCGTTAATTTTTATTCAACCAAAACATATAATTCCATGTTCATCATTCATGTCAGAGAATCTAACTGTATTGCATTTGTTTCTGCTCTGAACAGTTATGCATCTGCACCTCAGGAACTCAGGACAGATTGGAATAAGTTTACTAAAGACTATTTTCTCAATCGCTCAACCTTGGTCTCAGTATTCCTTCTTATTGATGCTAGCATTCCAGCAAAGAAAATTGATCTTGAATATGCCAGTTGGCTGGGTCAGAATCAGGTAAATCCTCTTTCTCATTAGAATGAGATAAAAGGAATATATCAACCAATGACCTGCTACTGTTAGCTTCTTGAGTAATTTTTTGCTGACGACGATGTGCAACTGCATTTTATATTTTTCTCATTTCCCTACTGTTCTGGACACTGGTGATTTTGGTTAGGATGTTCCAGGCTTAAATTTGCATAAGTAAACACTTGCCAGTGGCTTCAGTTGCATTTCTCTATTCCTGTATTGATATAAATAGACACTAGGGTTTCAAGTCTGATTTAAATCCCCTCAGCTAACTTGCTAGAAGTAGAAGTTACATGTAGATTAGAAACTCTTCCTATTAGATATGGCACTTGCTATCCATACCTAAGTCATGGTTGGAGGAAGGGGAGGATTTCTAAACTTCAGTTTCTTGTCTTTCAGGTTCCCATGACATTAATTTTCACCAAATGTGACAAGCGGAAGAAGAAAAGGAATGGTGGGAAAAGGCCTGAAGAAAATGTGAACGAATTTCAGGAGCTGATACGTGGCTTCTTTGAGACAGCACCTCCTTGGATTATGACCAGCGGTGTCACCAATCAAGGTCGTGATGAGATGCTTTTGCACATGGCTCAACTGCGGAACTACTGGCTCAAACACTGAGAAAATACAATGCAGAATCAAACATTTTCCCATGTCCCCTGGTGAGTCTTCCTGTGTAGAGCGATGCTTCCATTTACATCATGGAGACCATTCTGGTAACTTTGCCATTCTGATCCTGGCAACAATAGCAACTAAATTCCAGAGTTGTCAAATGGATTACAAGATGGTTAAAATCATTAAGAAAGTTTTATACATTCTGCTGCTGAATTCCATGCATTTGATGCCCCATAGATGGGGCAGAGACTGTAATTGACTCGAGGAGGTTGTTGTCTCTAACAGATAGCCATCGTGCTCTAGCAAGTCCCACGGTGCTAACTAATGCAAACAAAGAGAAGCAGAAGAACATATTGGTGGGGAGAGCCAGACAGGGTAATGCATGGAAAATTGAGTGGTTGTTTACATGGAAGGCTGAGCGGTGCCACCATACAATATACATTTGCATCCTTGCTCTGGGGCAGCGCAGGAGTGGTTGCACGTTTTGCTTGCTACAATTACGGAGAAGCTTTTACTTGATTACAGCGTTAATAAAGTCTTAGTTTAACAGTTTAACTGGAGGCACTCGTGAGTTTTACTGTTTCAGTTTGATTAATTAATCAACTCCGACTGGAAATTGAAATGTATCCGATGTTCGTTAGGCTAACAGAATGAACTTAAGTGTTTCGATTTGTGGCTGCCTGCAAAAATGTTGAACAAATCGTCATTACGGTCAAACTTTTGCTATTCTATCCTCAAAATGGGTATGATGAAGACGATCTTTACAGCTCCTATTCCAGTTTACGTGAACTGAATCTTTAACTACGTTTTATAATGACAGAGATGAATGCTATAGCTAGCAGATCTATCCAAATCCCAGGATAAAGAATGAGCCTCCAAACTGTTGTTTTTTGTTTTTTTAACGATGGTCAAACTTGACCATTAAACAGAAACTATGTCATGGTAGTGGCACCATCGACAATGCACACATGGTGACTTCCCAATTCCTGCTCACAAAGGAGTCAGGCAGCTGCCTGACTTAAATAGATTACCACCAATTGACATTGGGTTGCCTAAATTAGCACAATCTTTTCTTTTCAACGAATAGGACTCGGACCCAAGTAGCTCAAGGTAAGAAATCATTCAGCAAATGCATAATCTTTAAGCATCATAAATTCAATTACAATAAGACTTCTCAACATCAGAAAGTAAAAAGACAACATAATTCCAGCTCTCTACTATATTAATATAGATCAAAATCAGGTTAGCATGACTCATGTGAAGCCTGGAGCTGACAATCACTAACTCCATCTAAATGCATGTTAAAGAAGACGTAAAGCCACAACCTAATTTCGATCATTTTTTGTTGGATGGCGTTAAAGATAAGAAAATTGGATATCACAAACTAGTCATACAAGTGTTGGGCACACAAATGCAGCGGACGAGAAAAGGACGCTAACCATCCATAACCACAATAAAGAGTGAATCTGTAACTCTCCATGATGAAAACAACTCACAATGGCTAATAAGTAGCAGCAATTAAACAACAATTCAAAACTTCTTGTTTGCAAATTTAAAAACAATGAAACAGAACAAACTTTCATTGCCCTTCTAAACCTTATGATGCTGCTGCAGCTCCCTTGTTCCTTGGAGTAGCTTGAGTACCTAAACAAACCAAAGAATTTACAGATCATCAAAACTGAAATAACAAGTACATGAACATTTTGCATCACATAACCATCAAAATGTTCCGAACAAGAACAGAATCTTAATTTTACCTTCTCTGAAGTTAGTCTTGAACCTGCGTGGTACATGACGGAGGTACCTCATACGGCCAGTTCCAGTGGTCTTTCTGCGAATAGCCTTCACACTCCAGTTATCTGAGAAACCAAATACAAAATACCCATACAAATCCATCACAAATTTGCCAAAAAACCCCCAATTCCAGCGTGCATATACAAATTCACTAAAGCAGAACAAATCCTTTAAAATAAACCCTACGGTGGAAAACAACAAATGTTTTTGTTCTCGGTGAGACAGCACCGCATTAATCATCCTTATAACGAATCGTAAAAGGATCTTAAAATCTGGTCAAAGTAAATCAAAATACAAATCCAACAAATCCCAAAAATATTAAAAAGATTGAAGAACAAGTAAAGCAACCAGATAATAACTATAAAAAATAAGAAGCAATCAAACAACCAAATCTTGCTTTAAATAATATAAAAATAGAGCAACTATGTAGCAACTCTTGATCCATTAAAATAGAAGCAACTTACATTTTCTGACACGGGCAGCAGGGAAGGCACAAGCACTGCAACGGCTTTTTTGGAGATGAAAGCTGCGGCGACCGCAACGCACACAGAGAGTGTGTGTCTTGTTTCTTCTCTTACCAAAACTCCCTGTTCCTTTCCCCTGCCAAACAAACAGGCAAACATGTCAGACTCATATCAACATTCAACCAAAGCGATCGTTTACTGCTGCAAAGAAGAAGCAAAGAAAGGGTACCATTTCGTCTTCTTCTTCGGCTGCAAAACCCTACCACTGGAGACAAAAGTTTAGGCAGGCGAGAGAGTAAGGAATTTATATAGTGAAGATTTAGGGTTTTCTTAAAAAGGCTGCATTGGGCTGGCGAAGATGCTAGCTTTAAGGGGAGGTGGGCCTTGGGTTTTGACTAATCTTTTTGACGTTGGGCTTATTTAGTTTTATTCGGTCATAATTGTTTTTTCTTCTTCTTCTTTTACCAGTCTAAAAAAGAAATCTATTATTTCGTTATGAAATAATAAATGTTAATAGTTATTTATATTATTTAATTTAATTTTATTCATCATTATTATTCAAAAATATATGTGTGATTCAATTAACAATTATTATACATGAATGTGTTTATTTTCTATTAAATTTATAATATAAAATTATATGTAACATTCACTTATAAATAAGTGTATTAGTTAAAAACAAATAGTATAGGGAATTTTTTTTATTATCTATCTCTTCAACTCTTTTTTTATTACTTTTCCATTATCTGCCTTTTTAATTTGTTTTTTATTATTGTTACTTTTATAACGCGTTATTAATATGAGTGTTCTATCAAAATACCTAAATTATCTAAATCATTAAAAGACACATCTATAATTTATCGTTTACTTTAAATATAATAATATATATACAATATATATTTGAAAATTTTGAATGATCTAATATGTGTTGTTTGAAAAAATTAAATTTTATTATTATATTTGTTTTTATTTTCTAACATCATTATTATATCTTGCATTATTAATTTTTATCGTGTCAAACTTTACAAAATTTGTTTTTATGGCCCTTGACATTTTGACCAATAATTATCTATTGTGTGTGGTTAATTCTAAGATACATTTAAGTGCTAATAGATTTGGAGAAACTATTACCGATTTAGAGATATTAGAAAAAATATTTTTTACTTTTATGTCTCAAGTATGCTCTTGTAGTAGTAATATCGAGAAAATAATTTTAATAAATATTTTAAATTGATTTCATATTTCATTGTGATTGAATAAAATAATGAATTATTGATAAATAAAATCATAAAACTTGTCCAACTCGGTTCTACTTCATCCTCTAAAGTAAACAAAATTGATGCTTTAGATATTAATAATCTTTTTTACTTATTTACTATTAGATTTACTACCTAAAATGCAACACCTTCTAATTAGTTCTTTATTAACTATTTTAATTTGGAGTTAAAATATGCCTTAATTCTATTACACGAGTCACGTGTTGAAATCTGAGAAACTTTTCTTTGTTATAAACCATGTCATCAATTAGTAAGCAAGAGTTAGTAGCATCAACCTTTTAAAAAAATGTAAAAACTAGTTCAGTAGCTAAAGCACAAGTTAATTGGTGGTTAGATCCCTTCTTTTGAATTTTGATATTCCAAGTTGAAGTTGCTTTCTCTTTTAAGAATATTCAAGTAAAAAGAAAAATTAGTATTAACATTAAATTTTAAAGCTTAAGTTGATATAAATACTCGGTGAATAGCTTAATCTATTTTTATATAATAGTTTAAATCTCTAATATATCCTTCTATTTTTAATTGCATTTATAATGTCTCCGAATAATGTTTAAGTCTTTAATCTCTTATTCTGATCAAATTTTCTAATAATGGATAAATTTTTTGACCGAAATGCTCCTATAAAAAAAAAAAAAACAACAACAACAACTCTCAAACAAACAAAAGCATGGATAAATATGCCATCTATTTTTAAAATTTTAATTGTATCTCATTTGTCACTAAAAGTGTTTGAAATATTCAATTTGTTCTTTCAATCAATTTTTCTAGCCAAATATTTTTTTACCAAAATGCTCCCGATTGAAATGCAATATATATATATATATATATATATATATATATATATATATATATATATATATATATATAAAGAATTCAAAAATTGAACATATAGGCCATGTGACTCTAAGTGTGTTTTTAATTTTAATAAAGTACATTTTCATTAAAAAAAAATCCATTGTTAAAAAATTTTATTGAAATGACATATTACACATTTTAAAATTTTTCAAAAATAGGTGAGATGCAATCGAAAATGTAAGGACAAATGAAATATTATGAGTATTATATGAGGGCATATGGATATATTTATATATAAAAAAACATGTAAAGTCACATGGCCTACATGTTTTATTTTTTTTAAGAATCTAGATTTATTTATTTATTTATTTTTGCATTTCAATCAATAAATTTTTGCTTATGTTGGAAAAATTGACCGAAAGAGTAGATTGGAGACTTAAAAATTATTTAAAAAATACAATATATGTAATTAGAAATAAAAAAGATAAATTGGATGTGTGTGTGTGTGTGTGTATTATCATAAGATACATTTAGTTTGCCTCTATATTTGTAACAAGAAGTTAGTTTTTTCCCTCTTAATTAATTTCTCTAACAATTGGAAATGTGATCCACATTGAAGGGGAGCAGAATAAACAAATTTTTTTCCTCTCCATATAAAGTCTCAAGATCGAGTCGTTAAATTCACTAATTATATTAACAAAAATCATTTAGATCGTTACCTCTTGAAGCGCGAGTATCATTTTTGTGGATTGAATTGTCTAAATGTTCGATCTCTAGTGATAATCCACACGACTTAAACACCAACACAAAGAAGTGACAAAGCTCGAGAGTGCTAACTCCAAATTCTTTTTGTGGTAAAGAATGCACACGCGAATTTGTAAGAAAGTCGGCTTGATTTTCTTTCTCTAAAGAGGATTGCGCCTCTCTCTCTCTCTTTCTCTTGGAGAATTTGACTAACTCTCTATATATTGAGTTATGTGGCTTAATGCATCTTTTTTTATTTACAAACCTTATATCACGTTCAATGAACTTTTTTCGAAATTCTCAAAAATGCCCATCAACTTAAAATATCTCTTGCGAGCTTTCACTTAACCTTGTTGGCCCAAACACCTTTGGCCTAATAACTTAGTAATTAAATAGATCATACAAATAAGTCGTGTCAAGTATTTTAGGAAGGCCCATATCATGAAAGTATTTTCTAAGTTATCCTATCGGTTTAGGAAACCTAAATTAGGAAACTATTTCTTTATATTTTTTTAGAAAACCCAAATTAGGAAACTATTTCCTTAATTATTGGAATTCCAATTTAGGAAACTAATTTCTATTTTAAGACACTATTTCTAAAATTCTTTAAGTCCTTAAGGAATCGAAATCAATTATTTCAACTACCATTTTCTTTCATACTTTTTCGCTTCACTTTATTCGTATCAATGTCAAGCTTATACGTGTAACTCGATAGACTATTAGATATATTGACAATGTCGGTAACCCTTTCTCCTTTTTCAGTAAAAGGGAATTTCATCATCTTTCCAAGTAAACAAGATTCGTAGACATTAAAAGATTAATAATTAAATAAGTCTAAATATCCATTTTTATGAAGTTTGGATATGCGACTCTCGTTTATATGGTCAAGTTGACAATGCTATAATATGTTTTTTTAGATAATTTGATTTGAGTTTTTTGACATTTATATTATATATGAGTTCATTTATATTTAAAACAAACAAACCATTATTAACTACAATATTTTCATATAAAACTTCATCTTTATAAAAAGAAAAAACTATTATTCTTAAATAAAAATAAAAAATCATCTTGGTTTAAACAAGAAATGAAAATAATATTTTTAGCAATACTATAAATCTAATAGCAGTTCTTAAGTTCAAGCATAAGGCTAGATAGCGATACTCAACTCATAGGTGCTTACAGCCTAATGGTATAACTTTGGATCCATTGCCAATGTGTAGGTCGACCTCCCCTAAAGTAATCTTTCCTAATTCTCTAACCCCCTACATATTTGTATAAATGCGAGCACCACATCTAATATCAAATACCTATGTGATGGGATTAGAAGTACAAAAATTAACTTCAATAACATAAATACATGAGGTGCTAATAGAACTTTTTTTTACACCTCTTCTAAGTACTCTTTACGAGTTGTGCTTTCAATGTCTCTTTTGTTGCTATGAAAACAGATTGCATGTTTCTTTTTCTCTATCGTATAGAATATTTTCTCATGTTAGAGGACATTCCTCGTATTCATTCCTAGTCAAGAAAGTTTGTATCATTAAAGGTATTACTTTCGTCAATTATCAATTATATCGATGTACTATTAGTCATGCTACACAATAACCTAACAGGGTATAAACGCATACACTTTGGTTAATTAATTTGTGATTTAAAAACAAAAGCATAAATTAAGAAGTGAAAGTCTATGTTTGCTCTTATTATTTTCTTAAAGTTCTATAATTTTCAATATAAAACTATAGAAAACTCATCGATCATTTTTCTCGATGAGTTAGGATCCATCTAAAAACATATATTAACCTTGATTATCTCAACGAGTCATGCATGGAAGGACTAGGTAGGTAACTTTTTACCAATTACATCTAATCTAATTTTTAATTTCGTTGGTATGACAACTCCTTCTTATCTCACATCTTATATGAATACCAATATTTGCCTATAAATTTGTTGGGCCTCGAGTTATCTCAACAAATCCAATAATCCACTTCAAATTGGACCTAAATATTCAAAGACATCGTATGATCCATGATTTCATTCATTCGAGGAATAAGTGACCCTTAGTTATCTCAATAAGTCAATAACGATCAAGAGAATTTTTTCCTCATAAAGTTGAAAGACAAATAACTTGATATTTATTTGAAGAATTTTCTTTTATTAGGTCTCATCATTTAATTTATCGAATTAATCTTATCTTGTATACTAGAGTTCAATCACATCAATCTCATATTTAAATCTATCATGCATACTACATATACATGATTCAAGAACCAATGAATGGTAATGGATTTCTAAAACTAGTTACCTCAAGTCACAAGAAGACCAGTGAGTCAAAACTTAGGTGAAGAACTTTTGAAACCTCAAGTTATAATTTTAAAATCGAAACCTTAAGTTATATTCAAAGAGAGTGAGATGATAA